CGCTCCCACTTGAGATCAGAATGTCAGGAAGTCGCGACACGTTCAAAGCTAAAGTCCGAGAATTCTACAGTAAACAGCTAGCAGAAATATCCTCATGATTTCGTCACCTCAGACATTATTGTATTTATTTCATTCTATATGTATAATATATTAATAGTTATTTATGTATTCGTCTATGTATTTTAAATAGTATTATCAAATTAATGTTATATTTTCTTCTTTTTATATAATACATGTGCACCTGCCATGCCCCTTACTGAACCATCTTAAGGTTGACTGGTAGATAATGCCATGTGGCATTAAGTCCGCCTCGTGCAAGTTGTAATGCAGGAAGTGTAAAAATAAAAAATAAACAATTTAGTACTCGTAATAACACTCCATCTCTTATCAAAATTGAATGTGATTTAATATACGGCTCTTACGCCAACGGAATACCAACTCATGTTATTCACGAATTTGTATCTGATACTGCTGCGGGCCATCAGTACTTAGAAATACCTCAAAACGTAATTTACTTTCCAGTGAAGAAAAATATAATTTCGTCTATTGTTGATCAGTTTGGTTACTGCATCAATTACTGCACAAATTTCACATATATTATGGTATATCCATACTATGGTAAACCGACTGCTTATAAACATACTTATATAAATACATATTTTATTATTTCTGTAATTTGTAATTTACCGGCCATTGGACAAGTTCGATGCGTGCGATCGTGCTCATCACACAATTACTTGTCCTGTATGGAAAATGAACCCACGTCTGGCTTGGCAGTCATAATCACTAACCACTAAACATCGTTCAATTCGAATACACCAATACAAGTAAGCAGCCCACAGCGCTCTTGAAACTCTTCAATATTGATGTGTAACTTACTATCTTTACTAACTGCATTTAATTGAAACCAATCAAGTGTGTTCTAAATTTATTTAACTGTGTTCGTTTATGTTAAGATTTTATTGTTTAACATTTTACTAACAGAATTACACCGAAGGAAGTACTGAAGTATTTTGCCATATGACGCCGGAAAAAAATTTGATTAACGCCAACGCCATTCAGGAATACGGTAACTTTGGCAGGTAAAGCATTCTTCTGATTGCTATAGAAGAATAATAAGGTAGCTTTTCACATGGGTCTAGCGCACTACTTTTTTTAAGGATGTTGATTCCCAGAAAGGAGATCTGTAACCAAGGCTTTCAGAGTCCTGATAATGATCTTTAACTGTCATTTAATCTCGAAGCCAAATATTAATGTGAACAGGTAGTAGTTATGTTGCGTTTTTTCGATGTTCACCTTATGCTAATTCTGGTGCGGACTCAAAGGACGGCAAAGCACTTGTGTGTGTACAACGTTGTAGGTGTCTGTCTATAGGCAAAGGCGGTCACTTATCTGTACCTACAATGATAAATCAACTGCCTCATTTTAACTCAGCATCCGTCCAACGTTGTCTAATCTCTTTTTTATTTTAATTAACGATGAAAAAAATATTTAAATTGCACAAATAGTTCACAGATGATGTCGCTATAACAACAAATACTAAAAACAGAATAAAATAAATATTTAAGAGGGGCGCCCATACAACGTAATTTTTTTGCTCGTTTCTACTCGATATTGATAACGGCAACAGGTAGACGCTTGAAATATTCACAGAATATTTGGTTTTATAATCACTTTAAAAATAAATAAATAAAAGTAAATAAAACAAATACTTAAAGGGGGCTCCCATACAACAAACGAGTTTTTTTTTTGCCGTTTTTATAGAAAATGGTACGGAACCCTTCGTGCGCGAGTCTGGCTCGCAATTAGCCGGTTTTTTTTTTTTAATTTTAATTAAAACCATATTGTCTTATCATAGAATCAATAAGAAGTTACGTAGTAACTTTACTACGTAATATCATATTATACACCTACTAGCTGTACCCTGTCACGCTTCGCTGTGGCACACTGTGGTTGCAAAAGCGACTGCACGGATGGCGTAGTGGTTTAAGCGGTCGCCACGCCGCTTCCTACTACACCGAGTGTTGTGGGTTCAAACCCCACATGGGACGACACTTTGTGTGATCCACAAATTGTTGTTCTGAGTCTGGGTGTTCTTTGTGTCCGTTTCATGTATGTTTGTAAAGTCCCCCGCGACACAGGATTTATTCCTAATGCGGGAGTTGTCTTTTTAAAAAGAAAGAAAAGAAAAGAAATAGATATAGACTAGCTGGCCCACGCTACTTCGTCTGCGTCTCTCAAAAAGAATCAATTTCCCCGTTTCCGCGACATTTTTCATTGGTTCTCTGCTCCTCGTTGGCGTAGACTAAAAAAAACATTTTATAGTGGACCGAATTATAAATTAAAACCATTCTCGAATGGACTTGAACACACACAAAAAAAAACATCAAAGCGGTCCAGCCGTTTAGGAATTAAGAACGCACAGAAGATTTATACAAGGTGTAAGGGACATCGTACCGAATACTGTATTCTGAGTAGTGTTTATGATTCTGAGTCGAAAATCATTGGAATTTTCTGCCGGAAAATTCATCAATGTTTTTTCCATGTTACTAGTTAAAAATGATCAAATATGAAATCACAATGAGTAGACAGAACATTTTATCAAAAACAATTTTATAAATACGGAAAAATAGCAATCTAATTAATCAAACAGCCGAAGCGTGCGGGGCCTCCCCTCCAGCCGCCATTTTGTGTTAGTGTTCGTAGACTTTTTGCACGGAATACACATGTAGTTATTACTTTTGTGCGATACCTACGGGAAATGACCTTAACCTTTAACAGCTGATTGCATAAAAAAAATCCAATGATTATCGACTCAGAATGATGGTCTGAATACACTATTTCAGTATTCGTTATATCGTGTATAATTCCTAAACGGGTGGACCGATTTGATGATGGTATAAGATAATTTCATATATTTGTTTTCTATTCAAATTTTTTTTCATGGAATAGGGAGCACCAGCAACCATGCAGACGGGTCACCTGATGGAAAGCGACTACCTACGCCCATGAATGCCTGCAACTCAGGAGTCGCAAGCGCGTTGCCAGCCTTTGAGGAAGCAATGTGCTCTTTTCGTAAACGTTTGAAGGTCGTATCCGTCCGGAAATCGATAACTTGTTCCACAGGTTAGTAGAGGCAAAAAGTGTCTTGAAAAGCGCACAGTGGTGGATCGCCAATTATCCAAGTGGTGGGGATGATAATTTTGCCGTGTGGAAAGATGGTTAAAGGTTGCGGTCGGTATTAGTGCGAACAATTCCTCGGAGCACTCTCCATGATACATACGATAGAGAATGCAAAGCGAAGCTACATCTCTGTGTAAAATCAAGGGACCGAGCCGGTTGCAAATCTTTTGGCTATCGACGATTCGAGTCGCTCTTCTTTGGATACGGTCCACAGGGAGAAGCTGGTACTGTGGTGCCCCTGCATAGAGATCAGAACAGTATTCCATATGCGGTCGGACTTGCGACTTATAGAGTTGGAGAGGATGGTCTGGAGTGACATAGCACGCTAAAGTTGCATTGCCATTTTAGCGTGCTAGTGTTTACATCACCTTTCGTCGCTTCATTAGCCCATGCTTCGTAACATTCCTGCTATCGGCAGGATGCCGTTTTGCAGGATCTGTTGAACCAATGCTTAGATCTGCCGCCAATGGGAATGAGTGTAGATGGAACAAATAGTTCTATGCCCTGAAGCACTACGTCAGTGACAGAATCGGCAAAGACGTTGGGATCATTCGGCAAGAAACAAACCCGCCTCCAGGGTAGAACGTAAAGAAAGAGCGGTTTTACGTGAGCGTGCCCGTAAGTATACAATATTTTTTACCTTTTAGGTAACTCATATATTCTTAATTCGGTAACAGAAAAAAAAAAATATCTTCCAAACTAAGACCCGAGTAAATCTGTGACAAAAAAATGTGCGAAAAATTGCGAAAAATTAAGGACTAAATCCACGCTAAGTGCCCTAGTTTATGAGATATAAGCGTGGCCGACCTGGGAAGATTCTACCTAGGTCGGCCACCTAGAAACACAACTTTTGAACCAGTGCCCGACAAATTCTGATATTTGGCGACAAATTTCGACTAATTAGCGACTAAATGTAGGTAAAAACAGATCTTCATTAGGTGTTCTAGTTTTTGATCCATTAACGTGGCTAAGCTTCGGAGATTGTCCCTAGGTAGGCTACCTAGATACGCTTATAACTTTTGAACCAGTGACCGACATGTTCTGATATTTGGCGACCAATTTCCACTAATTAACGACTACATTTGCGTTATCAAAATAATGCATGACATGCATGAGCCAGTGTCAGTGACACAAATTAGGAAATAAAAAGTGTACAGTTTAAAAATCTCAAGGTTTTTACCCCATTTAATTCTAGTTCATGATCACTTGGGCAATCCTTACAGTTATTCCATTTTATGAGTGTATATTGGGTATTTTTACAAGTGTTCCCTTACTTAATTAGTCTACAAACCCTTATTATAGAAGACAAACACATACTACATGCATTGTAGAAAAAAATATTATGTTGTGAAAATAAAACACTGAATCCGCCGTCGCATTCCTTATATTGTATAAAAAAATAATCAGGATTTTCAATAACAAATATGGTAAATTTAATGCATTACAAATTGATTTGTTTTGATTTCAAATATGGACAATTACAATAAAATATTTTTTATGGTCTAGATTTCAAAAATTTGTAGATATTAATTTTTCATAACAATGAATGCAACCTATCTTCTAAATAAAAGAAAAATGAAAAATGACAATAGGCGCCACCTTTTTTTGGATGATGTTGTGTGACCCTCTACTAATGAAAAGTGATTCTTGCTGCTCGACATAGTCATGTAGCTGAACTTAACTGAGATTATATCTAAGTTAGTTGTCTTCAAAAAAAACGAAAGCTTCCCGTGATTTCTTTTTGAAAAGAGATTACTGCGCGTTTCACTGTCGCGCTTCATGGTGTGTTATTTCTCTAGGCGGCGAAGGCATGGTATTTACTTGATAAGACCCTTGGCTTTGAACAGGTCACGCATCAGTCCTTTAAGATAGCGGATTTCGCGCTGTAGGTCGGAACACTTGTCGTTAAGGTCTGAGTTTCGCTGACGCATCGTTTGCTCCTCCGTAAGAAGAACTTCAACCTGAGCCTTCTTCTTTTGTCGGTAACGAGTCGCAGCATTTTTGTTTTGCTCCTTTTTTCGAGAACGACGGTCGTCCGATGAGCGGGAGTACGGTTTAGAGCGACAGGGCGCCGACCACTCGTCGTCGGTGCATGAAGAACGTGGCGATGACGGAGGAGAGGATTGAGGTGACACACTTTCACTTCCGCCAGAGTGTTGGGGAGATAGTAACTGTGCAGCGCGGTTCCGTAGAAGCTCTTCTACGTCTGCAAAACCGCAATCATAATCGGAGATCGTCTGTTGAATTTGTACAGGGGCAGATGTGGCTGGCCACGGTTCTTGCGATGGCACAAGAGGAATTGTTGGAGCGAATGAAGCGTGCTGAGCTTGTTGAGCGTAACTCAAGAGTAATTGAGTTGCAGGGCCTGGAGGACTCTGAGGCGGAGTCAAGTGAGTCAATTCTACGGCATCAAATACGGTTTCGAATTCCCTGAGAAGCTCTTCGGTTGGTTGCGGCACTGTGTTAACCGTTGGCGCTAGAACCTGGTGCGGCACTGGGACTGACACTAGAGGCGGTGGCTCTACGCGTTCCACAACTTGCGAAATGTTCTCAAAAATAGGAAGATCTACCTTTTCCTCCAGCCAAGGCGGGAAGATAGTCTCTGTAACAAAAAAAATATACTGTTACACTTTCTGTTTTCACAAGTTATACAGACACTGCATAAAGATTTAGTATATTGCTAGATTTATAATGTTGTTTATAAAATAATGTATTGAGTTAATTACAATTAGGAAATTTCCATCATCATTTACACAAATTATGCAAAATTAACCATTATTCAATTTATAAGCGGTATTGCTGCAACGTTAGCAAGGTAGATGTCTACCCTGAACTAAAAAAACAAGTCTCATGTTGCACGCAAATCGGCGACCGGCGCCAATGATAGACCATTGTTACTATTCTTAACATAAATCCCTTCTACCGCTATGCTTTATTGAATTGCAATTCTTCGCTATCTCTATGAAAACAAAAGTATTTAAAATCTAGCTTTGAACAAAAGTGAACTTATTTGCATTATAAGTCAGTAAACAGCGCAATAAATTTGCCCCTTATTACTTGAGCGAGGTCAATGTTTAATGCGATGCTGCCTACCCCTTCGGAGACAAGCGTGAGTATGTGTATTTTTGTGTGACCATTGACAGACGGCAGCGCAATCAATAGTCAATTGAATGTAATTGTCCAGATTGATGTTGCAGACCTTACGCTGAGAAAAGAACATCAATTTATCGTTTCATACAATATTTTTTAATAATTTAAATATTGTGACAGCTAGCTACACGTGTTATATGTATAGCACAAAACTCCGTCGGTCGCCTGCAACCTGACCCTAGATAAACTTGCACAATCAAGGTTCGCTGACACCGCGCCCCCGATAGCAAACAACTTTAACAACTTTAAGTTCGCACATCCACGAAAATATCTTGTTTTATATGATCGACTGTCAATTTTTATACTAGTGTAACCATAGTATACTATCGTGATCATATATCAAATACAATAAAAACGCAAAGTAGATTTAACATTGTCAGTTTATTATTATACTAGCTGACCCTGCAAACGTTGTTTTGCTATTTACATTATTTAAATTTTTTTTTTTTTTTTTGAATTTCTTAAAATCCATTCTTAGCTGACCTCTACTCGGTGAAAAGAATATTCCTACCAAATTTCAAGTCTTTAGCTCTAATGGTTCCAGAGATATCGTGATGAGTGACTATATACGTGGAAATCTCTTATATATATATAGATAGATTGACATGAAAGCGTAACAAGATTCTTATAGTTTATATAACCTCGATTCGTATTGGCAAATATGATACTTTATTGTTAAGTTTCTATATAATGTTTTAAGTGATTTTATTTAAACTGTTATACTCACTAGAGGAAAATAAGAATGTAAGTGTATTATTTGAACGAAATAATTACTTCCATCGTGATATTTTTAGAGCTACAACCTTCAATCAGTTTAAACGCGCCAACGCAAAATAATAAATCAACTTATATTTTGTCACGTATACATTACGTGCAAAGATTATTATTTATCCTCAATTCGAAAGGTGTTATTGGTAGGTCATATTATCTGTATCAATGCATAGGAATGGAAACAAGTGGTCAATAAAGTCGTCGCTTTAATTATTGGGCGACCGAACAAGCGAGGTCGCCTTGGGCGCCAACTGGTTTATCAGTTAAGCATGCCACAAAAGATATACATATAACAGAGAATGTATTCATTGGCACATTTGGGCGAGTATATACATATAAATACGTTTAAATACTTAGTCGACAATAAGTATTTATTAATTCAATTATTAGGAAAATAAAACTATACAAAGGTAATTTGACTTACTGAATTCCAAGCTAGTAATTGTGACTAGTATCACTACATAAACAGGTTATACGAGTAAATTTACTCGTATATACAGGGTAACATGAATGTCAATGTGACTACTGATAAACATCTCATTCTGTCGCTAACAATGAATTTGAAAAAGAATAGCAATCAGATCAGAATAATTTTATGTTAGCTGTTAAACGAATAAATCCCAAGTTTATGTATATTATCCGCAGTCCACATTGTTAAGACCTAACCACATAATGTTTCCGGCATAATGAAACATTGAATGTATCGATGCCGTTTAGCAAACAAACAAGTTTTTTGCGCAGTTACGCTCTAAATCGAATCAGCAATGTGTCCAGTTACTTAATTGTAACAAACAGTCGAGCCGAACATTGGTTTAAGTAACAGGTCGTAAAAAACCGGTAGCATTAAACTTCAATGGCATAAATATGATTACACAAACAACAAAACAAAAACTAGAACATTCAGACCTTGACAAGGCTCAAGCGCTGGAACAATTTAAATGAACAAAGCAAACATAGTCGACTTATTAATAGCAAATAAGATATAATAGGGATACCACCTACCAACATACATGCCTGGCATTGCCATCACGAAATCCAATTATGTTATAGCAACTCCTTACTAATTCGAACAAAAATATCCTTTAATGTCCTTACTGCTACGATACAACAATAACTTTAAAAAGATTATAGGGCAGTGGGTATTCTAAAAAACTGGAATCCTCGTGGAGCGAGCGGAAGTCGTCGTTGAAGGTTCAGGCTCAAGCCCTGGGATCTAACGTCTTTTTACAAGTTTTTGTGAGTTAAAAACAATTTCTTTATTCCAGATGCAACGATAGTGGCACTTCATTCTAACGGCGTCCGAACGGCGCATCAACGTTGGCAGACATATGTTAATACGCGAGCGCAAGCGCTCGAAATGTGCTTCTTGGTTCGAATTTATTGTCACGGGTTAAAAACAAATACGATCACCAGCAAACGCGACGCGTCGCGATACAAGATACTACTGTACAAAGCGCGCGCGCGCACGCGCCCAATGACAGACGTGCCTTTCCCCACTACCAGTCTACACGAATCGTCATAAAATATGCCACCCATGTGCAACATTACATTCACATTTTCGATTCTTATACGTATGTATGTGTCTACGTAATCATTACATAGGTACAAAAAGACCTTAGCTGTAGCGATATATTACAAATGGTTACCAAGTGAAGCCGTTTTTTTAACGCCACATTAGGCATTTAGTATTGTTAGTAGCGTTGATTGTCGTGTACAGACGATTCACTATTTACAGTTATCAATCAGTACAGATCACACAATGTACGTAACACAAGTTTTATTTTGGCATTTTAAAATGCACTGCTTCTTATTTTTGTCATTGTAAAAACTAACAACAAATTCTAAAAACTTTATGTTATTTATGATGTCATAATAATGTGTTATGCTTGTGTTAAGTTCTAAAAAGGAAATTATTTTTTTCTTCACAAGTCTTTAACTCTTAACATTATCACTGTCCGTGACTTATAGTTTATATGCCAATTAATAAAGTATAATTACTAATTAGGTGTAATGATAAAATCACGCAAGCATGTAATGAGAAACAGCGGATAGAGATGTGTCGTATTAATATTACTCTAATGTACTTATTATATTTACATTATATACTTATTTCTTTGATTAGGATACTGTATGGGTCACAAATACTGCCACATAAATGTTTAAATTAAACGAGAGAGGAGTAGTGCTGATCTAATACATTGAGTTAAATTTTTAGACCTAGCTCTCTCTTAACTCACATAATTGAAGTAGGCTTAAGCTTAAAGCTCGTTCCAACTAGTTTAAAATGTATAGCGTTTACCTCAGTTACAGTCAAAGATTTAGAAAGATAAAGATATGAAAACATAAGAAGGACACTCAGGAGGAAATCACCTTGGGTATAAAACTTCAGAGAAAACAGACTGCAAAAAGTCACAAGAGTTTATTAGATATGGAGACCCGTCATGATACGGAAAGTCTATATAGAATATCAATAACAGTTATACCGATCATCGATGTAAAATAGAACATTTACAGTTGAATTAGGGCCGATATTCGTCCTGCCGGCGATTTCTAGTTTATTTAATTGAATGTTTGCGATAGAATTTATCACCGGACCATTGATAGACATGAAATCGGTAAAAAAAATACAAAACAACATCTGACTATTTTTTTAACACAATAACCGTGTGCACAAGCGTGCGCATAAGCGTGTGCACCACAAAGCACACACCAACACAGCGAGCGTGCCAAGACTTGCCTAGGCGGAACCCTGAAGCTTTTAAATAAAAAGTTTATCATGCTGTTTTTTACATAACAAGTCCACATAAGGCTACAAGTACAACTTTTAAGTGGGTTCAGCTTCATCCTAAAGATAAATCTATACTAATATTATAAAGCTGAAGAGTTTGTTTGTTTGTTTGTTTGTTTGTTTGTTTGAACGCGCTAATCTCAGGAACTACTGGTCCGATTTAAAAAAATCTTTCAGTGTTAGATAGCCCATTTATCGAGGAAGGCTATAGGCTATATATCATCACGCTAAGACTAATAGGAGCGGAGCACCAATGAAGAATGTTTCAAAAACGGAGAAAATTTATTACTATTTCGAGACGCAGACGAAGTTGCGCGGGTCAGCTAGTATATAATAACTTTACACTAAACTGGTATATTCTTAAGTAACAACTATTTTTTTAAGGTTGATACGTCGAGAAAAGGGCGGGGGGCCCTTAGTGGAGAATGATGGCCCGACTCCAATGTTTCTTAAGCTAAACCGACTAAATCACACGGTGTGTCGTGATGCAACTAAAATAGAAGGCATCCGGGAACAGCTTTTATTAAGAGTCTGGATTCCTCCCAGCGCCTACCAACAAAAGCACGAGTACATCCTTTGAGGTTCATATCGTATCCTAGATTAAATCCTGGTTAATATTATTATAAAAAAGGAGATGTTAGTTTGTTGCTTGTATTCTGGTCTTAAACTAGAATACTGGTATTTCAAACGATTAAGTGATATTTCTTTAAAAATCTCCTAAACTCTAATTGTCACAGCAGGATCCTTACAAAGACAAAAAATATAGTTTGCGAAGATTACTATCATAAAAATAAATTTCAGAGCCTAGAGGGGTGTGTCAAGTTATCTCGCTGTAGAACTCAGTGACTCGACTCAGTTCGTGTTCCGTAATAAAGTCATTAGAGCATAAAGCTCATATGATTTAATGATGAATGGTTTCAAGATACTAATAACAATTGTACTTTCATACAAAATTAGAAGCTAAAAAGGTTACATAACAATAACTGATATGATAATGGGTACTACCTAAAATATTTATATTTGAAATTATCGTTGTTTTGAAAGAATAGCATCACGTTCTCTTCAACTGTGCGTCATGGCAGCAAAACACATTGCGGGTCATTGGCACTAATTGGAATTCAATAAGACGAAGACTAGCATTCTAAATTATACAACCGAATGATATTATGTGAATGTATATAGATTTCATTCATGTTTGTATTGTGAAATACTTTTTAACGAAATGTAACATGCCGAAAAGCAAACGATCAGATGGCAAGCGTCTTATTTTGGTGGCGGAAGGTTTTGCCCCTGCGGATGAGGAGGTTAACGTAAGTGTACGCAAAATGAAAGAAAGAAAAAGATTATATCGTGATTTTTCCAGTCCCTCTAATTGTTCGCTTGTTACTTACTGTTCGTATATAAGGGTTGTTTTTCATGAGTCTTTGTAAATTTATAAGAAAAAACATTTTTTAAATTAGCAGTGCTGTCGAGAAAGCTGTGATACATTTTGCCCAACAAAATATTTTTGTATCTGGTTTTCAAAGAAAAAATTTATACAATTGAGATCAAAATAGTATCTTTCTTTTAATATCGATGTTAAATCCCAATTTACAAATAAATACACGCTGTTAGGGTGAAACTCTACCATCAACAATGTAATAACATTGTGTAATGAGTCAAAATCTTTTGAGACTAAGTATTTAAAAGAATTGTGAAATTTAAGAAAATCTAATCTTTTTATTATCAATGTACATTGAAACGAATCATTTCAACTCCTTCGGATAGGAAGAATGGCCATTTTACACATAACCGAATACTGCACAATTTTATGTATTGCTACTGTAGTAAACCAAACAAAGCTTTGCTAGGGGTCAGAATAATTTTATACATATTACTATATGAACTATAACAAATTTTGAATCAAATTAAATACATAATCAGTTGACGTCAACAATTTGCTTTTAAATAAGCAAAAACCATAGTATAGGTTTCACTATGTCAAACTTCAAGCCAGTGTCGACTACTATGATAATTAAGGATGTCGGGATGGACTTTGTGGACACTATGACATTTTTAGGTATAACACTAGGTTCTAAGCTATAGTGGGGCTCACATATTGATAAATTATCGAGTAGACTTAGCTCAGCAGCATATGCAGTAAGAAAAATTCGAGAGTTGACCGATGTTGATACAGCACGACTTGCTTTACTTTTTTAATAAAAATCCCAAATAATATTCAAGACATATTCAAGTATTAACAAATTTAAATCACACAAATTTTAACTGTCCATAGAGGGAACGCGTTGTACATTTTGATGTAAGTGTGTGCTTTGATTGACTGCGTATTTTAGACTTCCAAATAAACTTGCTGTTTTGGTGAGCACCAGCCATTATATTACTTACAAAGATCGGGCAAATAGCACAGATTTAACAAGAGTGGCCTAGAGTAATAAACGTCAACGATAATAACGTCAGGAGGAAGAATAAAAAGAAGAGCTTGATCTAGTTTAGTACGAAACCCTTTCATTCTTTCCATCATCTTTCCTTCCATCTTTAAAAAAATTACATAAATAATGTATGTGTGTGTGTGTGTGTTTGTGTTTGTGTAAATGCTGTTAAAATACAATCTTAAGATTAGATTGCAGCAAAGAATTTGACCATTTTTGATTAATATGTACTCATTTTAACAAACTTTTGATGTGAAATAAAACCTATTCGGGTGATAAATAAAGTTTATGTATACTTCTATATATGTACATTTACCTTGTTTACATTTGTTGTCTAGCTGCTGCAGAAGATTGTTGGCGAGCTCGGCGCGGCTAGGCTTGATCTCCGGTGGGGACGGGGGATACAAGCTTGAGGTCGCGTCGTCTTGGAGTCGGTAGCTCTCGTATTCGCTCTTCGGTGCAGCGCTTGGGAAGTTTTTAAGTAAATCTGGTAATCAAAATAAAACAATTTTAGACTTGCAGTCGGATACTAACCCAATATATCGAAGTCCAAAATGCGTACAAAAGTACTTAAAGTGGCTTCAGTATGTATGATAAAAATTTAAGTTATTTATTTAAACAATATATCCTAATACCTACAAATAAATATATAATGATAACTTTATCTACATTAAAATAATGATGTACTCTCCTCCAATTTGTTATTGGTTATAATAAACACTGTGTAATATTATGTCTTACTTTGAAACAGGGATATCTGGAAGTCCCTACACAAGTCACATAAACCATTAATATAGCAGCACATTTTTCACAAATTAAATAGACAAATTATTTTTAAGCGAAATAATTAATTAAATTTATTAGCGCCAACGAGTGAATAAGTCGAAGAGGCTTCAAGGTAAGGAGCTTAGATAAGTAATGTACAAAATACAGCGTGAGGAGTGAAGACGTCAATATATATATGGTCCATATCTATCGCACAATTACGTCAAAGTAACGCCCAGATGTCGTGATGCTTTTAATCTTTAGTTATAATGTCATAATAATCATTTCTGTTACCTAAATCATTTCTGTATTTTTAAGATAGTTGCAGCTACATCAACACAGGATTTACTTGTGTATTGTTGTGTTGCCTAGGTTATATTTACTTCTTATTGAAATTGAACGGTAATTTCTAATATAATTAAACCTAAACCTCTATAATAGAATTAAAGTTCTGCGTTGTATTTGAGGAAATTAACGCGATCAAGTAATATTATAATAGATGATCGCGTTAATTCCGGTGTATATATCTCTAATTATAGAAACATGATGGAACACGAAAATTTACATTAATACAAGTACGTAACACAATGGTAAATAATTTTTAAAATTTTAAAATCCCCACTTTGGTCATAAAAGGGACAAAAATATCCACCCGTGATATTCTCTTTGCACAAACATGCTGTTATAAATTTAAACATCAAAACATATTTTCATTGGAAACAAGATAACGAATGGAAACTAGCTAACGGAGAGATAATATGCAATTCAAAACATGTACAGAGGCCAGGCGAGTAACTTAAGGTGCTTTGAAATATGGTCTTGTGACGTTATTTTTTATCATCGAAATACAGCAACCTGCCACTAGGCATTATGATTATTATGACACACCCACGCTTTCTGGCATGGCAACAGGCAATGCCTTGATTTGTTTAATACACCAGTGAGAGGGTTTGAGTTCTGATGAATATGGAAAAGCGCGAGCTGTATGTTAGAATCATATCAAATTTCGTTCTATGGTCTCTAGTTACAAAGTAGGCGTAAGCATAAGTTATGCTTTTGTTGTATATATATTTTTATGTGGTATTATACTTTATACATTTTTCCTTAGCGACATATATTTCTTATCAATATCGTCAATATCGTAGTAGTTGGTTGGGTCAGGTTTGTTAGGTATTATAAATTATAACAGTAATCAATTGTCTCCAGGGTGAATAAAATAAGTTAAACTATATTTATAAAAAAATACCAAAGCTAAACGTCAAAGTTAACAGAATGTTTAAAATTATTGAAAAAAGAACGAACAGCCTAAAAATAAATCAACAACAACGAGCAATTGATTATTTATAAAGATAGTCGGAAAGAACAAACTTATATTCTATGGGGTGAAAGAGACTGAGCTCATACCCATGAGGTAATACAAGATATTTTTTATATGCTATGAAAAATATTAAAATAATCTCCAAAGGGCTCGGTCTTTAACATTAAAAGATGACTTTAGACAAGAAGTTGTGCTAAAGCGTAGGACTGCACGGCTAGCGTAGTGGTTTAAGCGTTCTCCACGCAGCTTTTTAATGCGCTGAGTGTTGTGGGTTCGATCCCCACATGGAACAACACTTTGTGTGATTCATAAATTCTTGTGTTCCGTGTCATGCATGTTTGTAAAGTCTCCCGCGACAATGCAAGAGTTGTCATAATAATGTCGATCATGCGGAAACGTAATCGAGAACAGACTTTAAGTTCATATCCGTCATACATCTGTACCTACAACCTAAAAGCCCTACTTTCGGATGAAAAATTACAAGATTTTTAGAGATCGAATGGAATATTTAATAGGACAATATTGGCCTGGCAGAAATACTTACTAAATATTACAAGACGCTGAACTTATTTTTTACTATTATAGGGAAGCGAATGGTCAAAATGGGGTCAAAATTCTTATAAAAAAGGAATATAAGTTAAACATTGAAAACTTTATTGGGGTGTTTGAACGCATCCGCATTTTTAATTTCAAATTCGTTTAACTTGAATATATGATAACTAATATGAAGAACATAACGCTAGCAAAAGAAAAGGGCGAACATGTCTAAGAAAACGGAAACCACGGCAATAAGAGAAACAAAACATAGATCGTCTGGAACTTCTCAAAAACAAATATTGATATGGGCAGGTAAAGTAAAGGTTCGCAAATGTGCGAGGATGGATAAAGAAAACTGGACGAAAAGAGTAAAAAATTGGTAAGGACTAACAAACATACATTTTATTCGTTAAAAATAAAGTTTTTACTTTATATTGTGCTTAATATAGTAATTTTTGGTTACTTACTTAAAATTCTTACGACTATTTAATTATGAACAGGACTACTGTACAGGACTACAGTACTACATGTGCGACAAGTTTCAACAAAAATGGATGGACAATGTTTTACGTACTTGATACGAAATTACTTTTTTGTTTACTGCCATTATGTATTTCAGAAATCGGTAGGTCTTGATTTATCGATAGTCACCTCGGTATTTATTTTTATTTTATAAATAAATTAATGTATAGGTAGACTACAAACCAGTTTGCACATTTATATGTGTATTAATGTATAGGTAGACTACAAACCAGTTTGCACATTTATATGTGCAAACTGGTTTGTAGTCTACCTATACATTAATTTATTTATAAAATAAAAATAAATACCGAGGTGACTATCGATAAATCAAGACCTACCGATTTCTGAAATACATAATGGCAGTAAACAAAAAAGTAATTTCGTATCAAGTACGTAAAACATTGTCCATCCATTTTTGTTGAAACTTGTCGCACATGTAGTACTGTAGTCCTGTACAGTAGTCCTGTCCTGTTCATATTTATATATACAATAGTGATCAAAAATAATTTTAAATTATAAACTAAAATTTAAAAAAAAACAGTAACACGAATGACAGGTAAATTCTACTGTAGCATTTTTGCATCATTTAAAGAATTCAACTAGCAATTCGCTTGTATTATTGTTGTAACATCATAATAATTAACGAAAGAATGAACAATATTAGAAATAAAATAATGACATCATAATAATTAACGAAAAAAAAGAATAATATTAGCAAATAAAATAATGTTATCATTATTAATGACATTATATTCAGTCGATTGAGATATAAGAATCAATTATTTTTTGTGATTAATGAATTTGATGATGATTTTTGAAATTAGTGATTGAGAACAATTGTTATTTATCCACAAGCGAATAAATTACGAATAATTTCATTTTTTAGTTAAAGTACTATTTATTTATGCAAAAATGTTGCAAACTTGTTTGGATAAATGAATACCGCAATTAATAATCATATAAAAACGTGATTTTTTTAAAACAATAGCAAATTGTTAGGCGTTTCATGCCCAAAAATGGAAAATGGCCAAAAAGAAATATGGAACACATCAATGGAATCATCATTACATAAATTAATAAGAATATTTAACGAGCAGCATGATCTCAATATAAAGGAATTCCGCCTCTAATTATTTTTAGCAAAGGGCATAGAAAATAATTGTTTTTTTCGGGCGTTGATACGCGGGAAAACAACCAAAATTTATTTTTCTACAGATATTTCTTATTTATTTAATAATATTTTATCAGGTATCTTATTAATTATACATGCACTGTAACACGCGCTTATGTAACCATAATGCGCTTGTGAGAGCAGCATGTACATTTATTAATAAACTGTGCGTATAAAACCCCAAGTAACCTAGTCTATGATATGTATCGCACTGAGCCCAGCATAAGAATATCCACCGTAATTGGAGCGATTTATAATTAGATCGACCTAATACTATCTGCATGCATGCAGTCCGTTCGTGGGGGGGGTGCTCTCGCCACAGGAATAATTTATGCTCACTTAAAAAGTCAAGCGGTCACTTGAGATAATTATGGATAATGATAACACTAAAACAACAAATGAAACGCCTCCCGAATACTGCGTCAATCGGTTGTGAGGGTCCTATTGAAAGTATAACACAAACAGATTCACAATTATCCTATCAATCGTATAAGTTTTATTAAAATAAGTGAATAAAATAAGTTATTAGATTTTACTTCTTTTAAATGAATTCATGCACTGAGGTAAATGGATTACACCACTATGTACAATGTACTAATTAGTTTTTACATTTATTTCCTATTTAAATATCTAAACAGTGATATGTTCTGGTACATTGTCACCTATATTTTTTTCTTTTAGTTTACTCTGGTTGCGCACTTTTAAGAGAATTTAAAAACTCGTGATCACATATTGATCAGAAGGCAGTAACGCAAATCGTATCGTTAGATATTAATGGGATATTATAGTAAAACTATTATCTAATTATATTAGCGACCAACATCACAATAAGTAGGTACCATCCCCATTTATAAAAATTCCAGTATCGACCTAACGTCACGACAGTTCAATAGATATTAAGATCACTTATTATCAAACATACCGAATAAGGTCATCGATTAATTAAGCATGTAGTAGAAACACGTTCTTCACCGAACACGATTAGATAACTTTTTTAGCTTATCATACTTTTTTCAAGGAGAATTTATATAAAAACGAGTGATTAAGCTTCATAAACTTTGTGAATTACATCTGATAATGGTTTATACAAATCTATAAATAAGTGGCAACAAGCCACTTCTATGGACACATTCACACAACTAAAACCAAAAAGACTGATGATAAATCACATATT